CTGGCCTCCTCCGTTCTACTTCTGGCCACTCATTGCCTTTGGCCAGTTTCTCAACTTCAGGTCCAATCTTTTGTCTCCCATTTCTGTCTCAATTTGTTGAATCGAAATCCAATGTGAGACTAATAAAAATTGGAATCTTTAGTCCACCCATTTTGTGATACTTTCCTTCTCCGCGATCTAATCTCTCTACTGCTTTTAAAAGTTTGTCTTTTTCAAAGTTTCAATCATCGAATCTTGTCTAGTTTTGTGTCTTGTAAAGTTTACTTAAAGGTCACATCTTCAAAAGGTATATATATCAACTGCTAGGTAAAGTTGTGTTTTTTCCGCACTAGAGAGTGAATTTGAGTGATGTTTGATATGAAATAACTGCTTTTATGTCCTGTAACTGAGCTCTCTTCTTGACTTGTTGAAAAGTTTGATACTTAAAGGTCATATCTTTGCACAGGGTATATCAACTGTTAGGTGAAGCTGGAACTTATTACGGTGTTCGATTCGGTAAGAACATACCTTGGGTTACAGAGTTCCCATTTGGAGTCATCAGAGATCCACAGTATGTTGGGAGTATAATGTCTTTATTGGCATGCTTCTCTTGGGTTCCATTTCAATACATTCTCCTCTGGTGTCTCGGCTATGTTTTCATGATGTTCGTTGAGTCAAAGGAAGATCCAAGTGCTCGCGCGAAATCTGCCCCCTGATTCTACAGCATAAACCCACTAGTTAGAAGAGCTTCTATCTGGTTGTTTGACTGTTTTCTTTCTGAGTTTGTATTCTCTTTTGTATCCAAACTGATTTTTACAGTTCCATGGATAATGCAGTTTGAGTTTATACATTCTCTCAGGTTTTCGGTAATCTATAGAATGGTATAAAAGCAACCCACAAGACAAAAGAAGAAAAAACATTAACATACATTCTTGACAATATACCAAACATACGATTCTCTTACATGGAATGATAAATCAAAATCATAACGAACGAAAAAGAAACAGAGTTCATATATCAGCTTTGACGATTATGAGGATCATCAGCTAACGATAACTTGGCATGAGGTAGAGAGTCTTGGAATGGCAAGGAGTTTCTTGAGGATGTCAGATCCTTCATTCTTTCTGCAACCATCCAAGGAGAAAGTGAATTTTTTGAGGACTGTTGAGTTCTCCAGAAAGTAACTCACTAGGATCATCGCCGCTGCATCATCGTCTTTCATTGGCTTTACTATCTCAACAGACTCGAGAGTGTGTAGGAAACTATGAGGTTCAAGTAAAACACTAATTGGCTGCTCCCATGGGGTATCAAATCCCTGCAAATTAGGACCAAGTAGATGTAAACAAGTTCAATATGAGATACTTTCACCATTTGCATAAATAAAAAAGAAGTTTACATATGGGTTTTGTAAACAATTTACCAAGGAGAGAGATTTCAGATTCGGGCAGCTCTCAAGAAAGATTGGCAACATTTCCCAGTTGTAGTCGTTGAGGTCAGCACGCAAGGAAGATAGGTTACGAAATAGGGATACTCCTTCACATTTCGAGAACTTATAGATGACCTGCAAGAAAAAAAAAAGTATCAGAGTAGAGGTGATAACGTATTTGAGAGGTTTATATGAAAAACTTAAGCATAAGTTACCTCGAGAGTTTCGGAAGTGATGAACATATCTTTGACACTAGAGATCCCGAGGAGAAAACTACAAATCACATTTCTCTTTGTCTTTGGTAGATCATTCGGATGGAACCGAGGCAAGTTAAACATAACATCGATAACCACCTTATCAGGGGAACCAATGTTATCTATTATGAAACGGTCAGTATAATGATCAGCAAGGTGGAGCTTCTCAAGCCTGGGGGCATCAATTACAACCACTAGTTCTTCAACACTATCGTTATCACAGTTGCCGAAAAGTGTGAACCAC